AAACTGGTTCTTTTTTTGATTGTGCTCACTCATTTTAAGGATAAATAGACTGTGTAGGAATAGGTGAAGTATATGGTGAAAATAATAATGGTTTTAATACGCATGTTTTCATTTTGTTAGAAAGAGATGTAGAGTAGTTGGACTGTCCAGAGGGAGTCTTCTATAATATTTGTTAATTGCTAGCAAGCAAATCTGTATATATTGCTGAATTTTTGCTTGGAGCTCTATATCCCTCCATTTTTCATTTTTGTCCTCTCCCCCCCCACCCGAAAAATCAGGGAATTGTTTTTTTTAGCTAGAACTTCTAGAACATAAGCAAAGAATGGGAGTCCTTGTTAGTTCTCTAACTGGAAGGTTAGACTATACATTATAGAATGTATGGTCTCTCCATAAGTGAGTCTACTGATTTTCTTTAGTCCAGGAATAAGATATGGGGTAGAGCGCATAGTTAGCACTCACATGATGATCTGCTTTTATGTTCTTGCCTGTGGTTTAGACAATTGCTTATTATGGACGTGATCTAAAATCTTTAAATAAAATTAAAGAAGCAATTCACTACCAAACAATTGGGTAAATGAGACGGTTCTAGGCCAGTTTATATTTTGCTTGTCTGTTAATACCTGTATGAATTTAGATTCCATGTGACTTTTTATACTATTGGCATCAATTTCTTTTGGAATGTTACTTCAGTTTCTGAAGGACTTTCTTAAATAAGAGAATCCTGGATTTCTACTCAGCCTCTTCAGTTTTGACTGGATAATCAGTTTTAATGTATCTGAAGGTGTCCTGATTCCCAGTTCCTTCTTTTAGTTAAAAAAACCACCCTCTTTACCTAAGATTATATTTTACTGGGGCAATAAGATCTCCTCTTTGCCTCTATTTTCTTTCCTTAGCATTGGGTTTTGTGCTATTATATTATATCTTTATGCACATCTTGATCGTAGTTTTTTTTTTTCTTCAAAATCCTATTTGATATTTTGACATTGGGATTTTCCAGAGATTTGTCTGCTGGAAAAGAACTTCCAATCACTTTCCAAGTGATTTAACCAGTGGAAACAGTATAGTTAAGGTGTGGACTAAGCCAGACTTTATCCTCAGGGTTTCTTAGATAAATTTGATACCAAAATGAATGCAGTTGTTCGTTATTGCACATAGCAGCATTACCCAACTTGATGCCCTGAGAGAGTTGCATTGTACTCCCCATCATCCCCAACCAGCATGCTTATGGCTATTCTTTTTGAGAATGATGAGAGTTATGGTACGTTTTTTCAGAATATGTCAACTGATGAGAGAATTTGAATTTTGTATAAAGCATGAACACGCAAATTTGGACATAGAAGTGCAAAAGTAGCCACCCACCCATTTATTCTGATATACACATTTCTTTACAGCACATCAGAAGACATAAAAAATTTGCATTTCTAGATGGAGGTACCAATCACTCTGCAGAGCTCCATTCTCTTTTTTCATGCATCTTTATGACACTACTATATGAATTGGTTCATATGCCTCTGTAATTACAGACATCCACAGCTGCAGATCAGCCTTTTCTAACATGATTTTCTGTAGTTAAGTTGGACTTCATCATACTGAGTTACCAATAACTTAATTTCTGGCTGTAGATTAGGGTAGTCAGAAGTGAAAGGAATGGCAATTTGACATGTTTAGAATTGTCAGATTGAAATACAGTTAAATAGAGTCTGAAAAGCAAAATACCAAAATTATTTACTGCTCCATCATACCAATAAAATTTACTGCTCCATTATACACATAAAGTTAGTGACACGTTCAGGAACAACATTCACAGTTCCATGAATCTGTTCCCCCCTCCCCCCCCAGCCAGTTTTCTAAAAAGAAATTCCATAAGTTTCCTTCTTGAATCAGACTATAATTAATTAAACACAGTGTGAACTTGCACTTCCTGCTAGCCACAGCAAAAGTACAGGTGGTGCCTTTATTTAGAAAAGAGGGGAGAGGCAGTTGCAAATTTCAGAAGATAAGCCCTGGACATTCCAAAGGGGATTAATTTATTCATACCTAATTCTTTGCAATAGGATTTTAAAGCAAATTAGATGACCCACGACCCGCTGAATCATCCTTTCAGAGATATTTCCTAAACAGAGAAATAGATTGACCACGTACAAGCAAAAAATCAGAGGGAACAGGAGCAATTTCCAAATCAGGTGAAATTGAGTTTTGCCAAGTAATCAGAATAACTGTCTGTTGTATATGGTGGACTTGCCAAAAAGTTAAGGCATTTTGGATAAAAATATGGTGGATTATGCAAAATATCTTTAAAAGAAGGATAAAGTTTACTCCTCAGTTATTTTTACTAGGTATAAGTACTGACTTTACAGCGGTAGAGACTAACTTGATTCTGCACCTAATAACAGCGACAAGACTGTTGGTGGCGCAATACTGGAAGAAGGAAGACTTGCCTACAATTCAAGAATGGACATTGGACTTCCTGGGGGCGGAGCCTGTCGCCGAAGAGGGC